CCCTCCCCCCTCTCATGTACTCTCTCTCTCTCTCTCTCATTCTCACTCTCTCAAAATAAATAAATAAATCTTTAAAAATAAATAAATAAATAAAAGCTTTATTAAGATATAATTCATATACCATACAGTTCATCCATTGAAAGTGTACCATTCGGTGGTTTATAGTATATTCACAGAGTTCTATGCAGCCATCACCACAATTAATATTAGAAACATTTTCATCAGTCTAAAAAGAAACTCCATACCCCTAGTCAAACAAACTTTCTTATCATGGGGACCAGGTGCAGTTCCTGATTATTCCTAACAGGTTTCCATTCCCTGCAAGTCCATGAAAGTATTCAAACAAAATAATCACAACTTATCGCAGGAGCCAGGTATCAACCCACTCTACTGAAATTACAAAGCCTCCCACATGTGACTGTTCACTCTGTTTCTGCGTATGACTCTCACAGGGCCCTATGTGATGTGTGATTGTCCACCTCCCCCAGGTTGTAAGTATATGTGACAACAAACTGCTAGCAATCTCATATTTTCAGTGTTGGGTGTCATGTGTTCATCCATGCCAATAATCCTAGAGTGGGAGTCCCACTCTCACTTAATGGGGTGATTAGGAAGAAACTAAAACAAGGTATTTAATAGCAGATTTGAGCAAGCGGAAGAAAGAATCAACACACTTATAAATAGTTAATTGAGGGGCAATTGGGTGGCTCAGTCTGTTAAGTGTCTGCCTTTGGCTCAGGTCATGATCCCGGGGTCCTGGGATCAAGCCCCACATTGGGCTCCCAGCTCAGCAGGGAGTCTGCTTCTCCCTCTCCCTCTGCCTCTCTCCCACTTGTGCTCTCTTTCTCTGTCAAATGAATAAATAAAATGTTTAGGAAAAAAAAAAGAGATCCATACACAGACACTAGTCAAATTGTTAGAAGACAAAGAATCTTGAAGGTGGAGAGAAGGAGCTTATCTTGTACAAGAGAGCCCCAGTAACAGTGACAACTGATTTCTCTCCAGAAATCATGTTGGCCAGAAGGCAATGGAATGACATATTTAAAGTGCTAAAAGAAAAAAAAAGTGTCAACCAAAAATTCTATGTCTGGTAAAACTATCCTTCAAAAATGAAAGAGAACCCCACTCCTTTGACCTCTGTTGTAGCCATGGCCACCACCTTCCTGGAAGAGAAGAAGTGGGAGAGGAGCTTATGTTGTCTGTCACCCAAGTCTTCTCGCTGTGCTGCCCCCAGAGTGTAAGATGTTTATCTGTGCCAAGCTTGCCTGCACCCCGGCTCTGATCCAAGCTGGATCCAGAATTGCATCCAGACCCATTGCCACATCAATGCTATCTTGATAGAAGAGGGCTCTATAGTATTTAATGGGGGCAGAGCATGGTGTGATTTAGCTAATCCAGTGGGATTTTCAGACCAGTGCAATCAGCAGAGACATTGATGCTGCTGCCTATTTTATTGGTACAGGTGTTGCAACGATAGCAGTGGAAGTTTCTGGTGCTGGTATTGGACTAGTCTTTGGCAGCCTTCTCATTGGTTAGGCCAGAACCCCTTCACTGAATCAGCAGCTGTTCTCATATGCTATCCTTGGAGTTATCTTGTCTGAAGCTTTTGTTTGATGGTTGCTTTCTTTCTTTTTTCTTTTTTAAATTCAGTTAGCCAACATACAGTACATCATTGGCTTCAGATGTAGTGTTTAATAATTTAACAGTTGTTTATAACACCCAGTGCTCGTCACATCATGTGCCCTCCTTAATGCCCATCACCCTGATGGTACGCTTTCTTAATTTTGTTTTCTACGTAACAGAAATTACTGCTTGAAATGTTGTTATTTAAATTAATTATGGATGTAATTCTGTGTATTTTACTGTGACTCGGAAACATATAGTGTTGGTGTCATGGAAGTACACATTACAAGTTTCTTCCACTATCTGAAAGTAGAACAGTCCTATGAAAGATTTCTTAAGCCAAAATGGTATAATGTGAAGAGTATCCCCCATATTCTGAAAATTGTGTTATACCACTTTGTTTTTACAAAAGACCTATATTAGTCCCTGTTTTAGCTGATTTTTTTCTTCTGCTAGTTCAATTCTATTGTTAAACCCTTCTAGTGAAGTTGTCATTTCAGTTATTGTATTTTTTACTTCTATAACGTCCATGTGGTTCTTTAAAAAAATTATTCCTCTATCTTTATTGACATTCTTTATTTGTTGCAACATGTCATACGTTTACTTATGTCTTTGAGCACGGTTCCCTTTATTTAGTTCTTCCAGTATATTTCTAATAATTATTATGAAGTCTTTATATGTTAAATCCAATATCTGGGCCTTCTCACAGCCAGTTTCTGTTGTCTATCTTTTTTTCTTGTGTATGAGTCACACCTTCTTGTTTCTTTGTGCGTCTTGTAATTTTTTTGTTGTTAAAAACTGGACATTTTAGGTACTATATGGTAGCAAATCTAGATCCTGATTATCCCTTTCTCCTGGGACTTGTTTTTGTTGTTGTTTGCTTATTTATTTGTTTAGTAACTTAACTGAACTATTTTAGTGAAGTATATTGCCCCTTCAATGTGCAGGATTCTTGCTCCTTAGACACTGTTCTTGCTCCTTAGAGACTGCAGCCTTGGATGCACACAGGTTACTCTTGGATGACAGTGTTTTAGCAGCACTCTTTGACAGTCTTTTTTCCTGATCTCTCTGTTATGCTGTCTGCTTCTGTCAGTACTTAAAATTCCTTCCTTTTGGGGCTTCTCAATAGCCTGTTTGTATGTTCTCATGAACCTGTCTTTTCCTAGTGTAAGTCATCCAAAAAAAAAAAAAAAAGAAGGGAAAGTCAGGTGGAAGCTATCCTTGTTATGACTTAGCCTTAGAAGTGACATAGCATTCCTTCCACCACATTCTATTCATTAGAAACAATAGGCTAAATCCCACCTGCATTCCGTGAGTGTGGAATTAGGCTTTACCTTGTGAAGTGAATCCTATCAAAGAATCTGTAGACACATTTAGAAACTACCTTAACAAGAAGAGACAAACTGAGTTCTAGATACCATTACACGAGGCTTTGATAAAAACTCAGAAAAATAACTGCTTCTTTTTTTTTTTAAAGATTTATTTATTTATTTTTAGAGAGTGAGAATGAGAGAGAGAGAGAGTACATGAGAGGGGGGGAGGGTCAGAGGGAGAAGCAGGCCCCTCGCTGAGCAGGGAGCCCGATGCGGGACTCGATCCCGGGACTCCAGGATCATGACCTGAGCCGAAGGCAGTCGCTTAACCGACTGAGCCACCCAGGCGCCCAAACTGCTTCTTTTTTTGAGTTAGTTTCTGAACTCCTCTCTAAATGATACATGGGTACACCTTATAGTCTGTCACCAAAGAGGCAAAATCCAAGGATCAGTAAGAACCAAGTTTTGTTGATGATACTCATTAGCAGGGCATGATACAGCTCTGGGAATTCTCAAACTTTCATCATGGACCTGTGTCTATCCCAGTCACTAGATTTGGATTCTAAAGACATATGGAGGGCAATTATTACCCCCAAATCCTATTTTTTACTACTTTTGTACTTGAGATGAAATGGTGATGAGATCCTTTGTGTCATTGAGACAAAGCCCCCTGGATGTTAAATCACAGGAAAAGGTTCGTGATGACTCTTCTTTTTTTCTAATCCTTTCAGGCACTGAGCTGTGCTGAGCAAGCAGGAGGAGCTGGGCTGTGGACAGAGCTGCTCAGTATTTGTCTGACCAATCAGAAAACAGAGTGGGTAAAAAAAGGGGAGGAGGATTGTGGACAAAAGTGACGGTCAGAAGAGTAGGTGGAGTAAGATGACTTTTTTTGCTCTCAAGAATATTGACATTTTTAGGTGGGAATGCGAATTTCTGCAAGTGGTCCAAGGTGGCGAGAAGACACAAAAATGTGGAGTAGTGTGGATATAGTAGATTTCTAAAATGAAAAAAAAAAATTCTTAGGATTCCATAAATATTCATGAGCATCTTTAAGTTTACAGGAGATTTCCAGACTCATATCTTATGGGCAAGATAATCTAGTCCCTGGGCATCTGGGTGGCTCAGTTGGTTAAGCAACTGCCTTCGGCTCAGGTCATGATCCTGGAGTCCCGGGATCGGGTCCCGCGTCGGGCTCCCCGCTCGGCAGGGAGTCTGCTTCTCCCTCTGACCCTCTCCCCTCTCATGCTCTCTCTCTATCTCATTCTCTCTCTCAAATAAATAAATAAAATCTTTAAAAAAAAAAAGATAATCTAGTCCCTTACCTTCCACCTTTTTACAGTATGAAAACTGAAATCCAGTGAGGTTAGTATCAGAGCAGGAGCTAGAAAGGAAACTCTTGTGATTCCTATACCAGTATGTATTCAATGTTCTGTACAGCTGATAAGGAAAAATGTGTGTCCTAAAATGGCCGACTGAGCCAGCAAGGGAATCCCAGTCCCTACCCTGAGGCTCTTCTGGGTTCTTCTCTTTGCTCTGCTTCCTGCTGACGCCAAAAGAACCAAGTATGCGGAAGTAGTGGTGTATAAATTACCCCCTTTGTTTGTGCTTGGGGCTCAGACCTTTGGAGATCATTCTCCTCTGAGCCCGCCGGCATTAAATAAACCTCCCATCCTCCAATATCTCCGAGTGCCACTTGGTTCTTCTAAGTGGCTTATAAAGATTTGCATGATCTGATCCCTTGTACTTCTCCATCCTTATCTTGTCCTTCCTCCATATCATTCCACCTCAATTGTGCTGGCCTTCCAGTTATTCTTAAACATACCCAATGTGCTCCTGTCCCAGAGCCTTTGTACTCGATGTGTCCTCTGTTGGAAAGCTCTTCTTCCAGGTATCTGCAAGACTTTCCCTCTCTCTTCCTTTATATCTCTGCTTCACTGTCACTTTACCAGAGAGGACTGCCCTGATTATCCTATGTAAGGCATTACCCAGCCCCTGCTTCATCATTTTCCCCTTACTTGCTTTATTTTCCTTTGTATTTTACCACATTATATATTCCTTTGTTTATTGTTTCTTTTTCTTTTCTTTTTTTTTCCATGTTCATAATTTATTGTACAAATTGAGTATCGCATGATGAGTTGACATTAGCTTCTCCAGGCATGGGAATTTAACAGATGAGGTACAGGTTAAAAATCGTTTATGTTGCTTTCACAGCTGGTGTTTTTTTAGACCTTAACTTGAAGTATAAGATCATCAAAGCAATGCCTCCATATGTGGCCAGTACACAATTCATTCTACCTGTGAGAGTATAAGAGTTGAAATATTTTTTGATACCAGTGAAATGGAATTGAGCATCAGTTTCTGGACCTGCCATGATTTCAATCTTGCAGAAGGCACCAATTCCGCCGCTTGTGTCCTCTTTTTCTTTTTTTTTAAAAGATTTATTTATTTATTTATTTATTTATTTATTTATTTATTTATTTCTTTCACAGAGACACAGCGAGAGAGGGAACACAGCAGGGGGAGCGGGAGAGGGAGAAGCAGGCTTCTCGCGGAGCAAGGAGCCCGATGCGGGACTCGATCCCAGGATCCTGGCATCATGACCTGAGCCGAAGGCAGACGCTTAACCAACTGAGCCACCCAGGCGCCCCAGAAACTATTATTGCATCTCAGGTTTTTTGGGTTTTTTTTAGATTTTATTATTTATTTGACAGAGAGAGACAGCGAGAAAGGAAACATAAGCAGGGGGAGCAGGAGAGGGAGAAGCAGGCTTCCCGCAGAGCAGGAAGCCCAATGTGGGTCTCGATCCCAGGACCCTGGGATCATGACCTGAGCCGAAGGCAGACGCTCAACGACTGAGCCACCCAGGCGCCCCAATTGTTTATTGTTTCTTTCCACTAAAATGTAAATTCTATGAAAGCAGATTCTTGGTTTTTGTCGACCACTGTATCCTCTAGTATTTAGAATAGTGGCACAGAGTAAGTATTCAATGTAATGAAATTCGATTTATGTCACTCCTTTGTTCAAAACCTTCCTGTCTCATTCACGGGAAAAACCAAAAGGCCTTAAAATGGCCTTTGTTATTGACTGACTTGTTCCTCCCAAATTCCTATGTTGAAGTCTTCACCGCCAGTATGCCTCAGAACACGACTGTATTTGGAGGTAGGGCCTTAAAGGCTGATTACAGTTAAGTGGAGTCAGGTGAGTGGGCCCTAATCCAATATGACTGGTGTCCTTATAAGACGAGGTTAGAGACAATAGGGGTGCATGAGCATAGAGAAAAGCCCTCGTGAGGACACAGAAAGAAGGTGGCCAACTACAAACCAAGGAGAGGAGCCTGAGGAGAAGCCAAACGTGACTATACCGTGATCTAGACTTCTAGCCTTCAAAACTGTGAGAAAATAAATCCCTGTCGGTTAAGCCCCCCAGCCAGTGATCTTTTGCTAATGGCAACCATAGCCTGCTTCTCCTCCACCTCATCTGCTGTATCCCCTCTTACTCATGCTGTGTTGCAGCTTCTTTGGCCTTCTTGCAGTTTCTCAAGTATGACAAGCTGGCTTTCTTCTCAGAGTTTTTGTATTTTATGTTCACTCCTCCTGCAATATTCTTCCTCCCAGATTTCTCTAGTTTACTCATATACTTCAGTCAGGTTTCTGCTCACATGCTGCCTTCTTAGTCATGTCTCTCTTTTTTTAAAGAGGTTTATCTATTTATTTTTAAAGTAATCTCTGTGCCCAACATGGGGCTCGAACTCATGACCCTGAGATCAAGTGTTAGATGTTCTACCGACTGAACCAGTCAGACTCCCCTTAGTCATGCCTTTCTTGACTGCCATCCTATTTAAATTGCAACCTCTGTTACCTCCTTATTCCCTATGTCTTCATCTTGCTTGGTTGTTTTCCATAGCACTTACCATCCGACATACTATATATTGCTTTGTTTATTGTCTGTCTCCCCCATCAAGGCTGCATGTGCCATGAGGGCACAAGTCAGTGTTGCCATCTGATTTGCCACTGACTCTTCTGTGCCAGAGGAGTTCCTGGAACAAAGTAGGCCCTCAAATAATATTTAGTGGGCCCGTTAATGAACGAACAAATGGTACTGGCCCATAGGTAGACAAATAGATAAGTAAGACAGACTAGAAGGTCCATAAATCCATTTTATGTATGGGAACTTATTTCTTTGTTGTTTGTTTTTTAAAGGGAAGGGCCATTTCATTGAAGCGGGGGGGGGGGAGGAAGCATGGTTTTTATAGTACATGGAAACTTCATGATTGATTTAATATATTTCGAAGAAAACAAAGTTAGATCTTTATTTAATATCACAAAGAGAATAAATTTCATTTTATTTAAGTTTATTTACTTACTCATTTAAGTAATCTCTACACCCAATGTGGGTCTTGAACTCATGACCCCAAGATCAAGAGTCTCATGCTCTCCCAAATGAGCCAGCCAGGTGCCCCAAGAATAAATTTTATTTTTTTTAATATTTTTATTTTTTATTTTTATTTATTTATTTGAGAGAGAGAGAATGAGGGATAGAGAGCACGAGAGGGAAGAGGGTCAGAGGGAGAAGCAGACTCCCTGCCGAGCAGGGAGCCCGATGTGGGACTCGATCCTGGGACTCCAGGATCACGACCCGAGCCAAAGGCAGTCGCCCAACCAACTGAGCCACCCAGGCGCCCCCAAGAATAAATTTTAGATTAAATATGTCTAACTGTAAAAAATAAAATTATGAAATTGTAAACAAAAATTTAGCAAGTTTAGGAGAATTTTTGTATAATTCCTAGGTGTGTATGCTTCTTGGGGGTGGTGTGAGACTTCATAGACAAAAAGAACACTCAGAAGTCATAAGGGAAAAGACTGACAAATTTGATTACATTTAAAATTTATAATGGCAAAAGATCCTCAGAAAGAAAATATGAATGGGGAGAAACCAATTGCAACATATTTGACAAAGGATTAATATTCGTTATATACTAAGAATTATCTAATAAGAAAGAGATAATCTGCTTATTAGAAATATAAGCAAAAGATATTAAAAAGATTTTTTGAAGGAGGAAATGCCCATGGCCAGTAGATATGAAAGGAGGCTCAGCAATTTCATACACACATGCACACACATTTTTTTACCTATCAAGGTCATTCATTTTTTTTTTTTATAAAATATACACTGATTTTCCTACTGTGTGCCAAGTATCATTCTAGGTATTAGAGATAAAGCAGTGAAGAGAAGAGGCAAAATCCCTAACATCATGGAGCTTATGTTCTAGTGGAGGGAGAGGTAGATAAGAAACAATAAGAAATAAATTATATGTTAGAAAGTGATAAGTGCTGCAGAAATAAATAAAACTATGTATGGGGACAATATAAAATAAAAAGGAATTTATGAGGTTAGTTTGCTCAACTCTAGGGAAATGAATTTGAAAACCCAGATGAGTGGTGCTTGGGTGGCACAGTCAGTTGAGCATCCGACTCTTGGTTTCAACTCAGGTTTTGATCATGGATTGAGCCCCGCACGGGACCCTATGCTCAGTGCGGAGTTGGCTTGGGACTCACTTTCTCCTGCTGTTCCTTCTCCCCACGCTATCTCTCTCTCTCTCAAATAAATAAATAAACCCAGATGAAATGGATGTTTTTTTTCCTTTTTATTGTTATGTTAATCACCATACATCGCATCATTAGTTTTTGATATAGTGTTCCATGATTTGTTGTTTGTGCGTAACACCCAGTGCTCCATGCAGTACGTGCCCTCTTTAATACCCATCACCAGGCTAACCCATCCCCCACCCCCCTCCCCTCTAGAAATGGATGTTTTTTGAGGAGAATTAAATTGCAAATATGGTTGCAGGGAAGAGAGAGAAATTCTAATCAAATTATATATTATAAAAACATCTAGAGAAAGTTGTTCATGAGCCACACCTAGAAAAAGCACAGGTTAGTGGCACCTGGGTGGCTCAGTCGTTAAGCGTCTGCCTTCGGCTCGGGTCATGATCCCAGGGTCCTGGGATCGAGCCCCGCATCACGCTCCCTGCTCCGCGTGGAGCCTGCTTCTTCCTCTCCCCCACTAACCCCTGCTTGTGTTCCTGCTCTCGCTATCTCTCTCTGTCAAATAAATAAGATCTTTAAAAAAAAAAGAAAAAGCACAGGTGAGATATTTCAAAGGTTATTATACCAACTTAAATTATTTTTTATTTTTATTTTAAATTTAAAAAAGATTCTATTTATTTATGTGAAGAAAAGAGAGAGAAAGTGAGAGAGCACAAGCGGCGGGGGAGGGGTAGAAGGAGAGGCAGACTCCCAAGGAGCAGGGAGCCCAATGTGGGACTCAATCCCAGGACCCTGGGATCATGATCTGAGCTGAAGGCAGACACTTAACTGACTGAGCCACCCAGGCACCCAGTTTTTTGTTTTTTTAATTAAGTAAACTCTGCTCCCAATGTGGGGCTCAAACTCATGACCTTGAGATCAAGAGTCACATGCTCTAGTGACTGAGCCAGCCAAGTGCCCGTAATTATACCAACTCTTAAAGGACAGACATGTCCAATGATATTTAAGTCATTTCAGAGTTTAGAGAAAGAAGTGAGATTGTGGAGAAATGATCATTCTCCTATGCATTTAGTGGAAGTGGGAATTTGGATAAAGTTTTTGAAAAGGATTCTGACAATATCTAGTAGAATTAAATCTATCTGCATATACATATATACATATATATATCTTAAATGTAGAAGTCTAACTCTTGGAATTCTAGCCTTTAGAAATACAAATATCAGTTGGTAAGGCTGTTTATATATGAGCAATGCTTATGGTATCAAAAAGACTAAAAACAACTTCAGTGTCAACAGGTTGAATAATTGATGATGGAGCCATCCTATGAATATTGCACAGCTATTTAAGAAAGGGGATCGATATGGTTTACTTGGAGAAATGTCAGTAGTCAGAAAATGAAACAGCAGACTAATGTCCAAGTTTTTGGCAAAAAAGAAAAACAGCCTTTCCCATTGCATGAAAATAACATATTTGTGTATGTTAGTATGAATATATAGAAATGTATGGAAGGAGGGGCGCCTGGGTGGCTCAGTCGTTGAGCGTCTGCCTTCGGCTCAGGTCATGAGCTCAGGGTCCTCGGATCCAGACCCGCATGGGGCTCCCTGCTCGGCGGGGAGCCTGCTTCTCCCTCTCCCACTCCTTCTGCTTGTGTTCCCTCTCTCGCTCTCTCTCTCTGTCAAATAAATAAATAAAATCTTAAAAAAAAAAAAAGAAATGTATGGAAGGAAACACTTCAAGCTTTAACATTGGTTATGTGGAGTTGGCTTGTTGGCTTTTTCTTTGTTGTTTTTGGTTTGTTGCCTCTGCAGGATTTTTAGTTTGAAATGAAAATCTGATAAGATATATTTTATAAAAAGACTTTTCTT